TCAAATTCTTCTTGTTCTTGAAAATGTGTTTAAAGTCTTAAATTTCATTCAATACAACTAAATTCTAATATAGATTGAGATAAGTAAAACATAGAAAAATACGATAATACATATAATACCAACTAATACTAATACTATACTATTGTCATTGTTTAGATATATTACTATAAAGGTCATCAAAAGGGTAGTTATTTCTAATCTACGGAAATTCGAATTGTCCCTTTTTCTTCTCGGGGAAGCATCACTTATATACAATTTTTCTCTATTTTGATAGTTCGAAACTTTTACCTGGTAGTTTTTAACTCTGCATTCGTTAGTTTCTAACTTTCATGCATTAGTTACTAACTTTCTATTTTCTTTTTAGTTACTAACTTTTCTGCCGGTTATTATCCCACTTCAATAATTCGAAACTATCGGTAAATCCATTTTGGAACCCTTAATCGATGTGGCTTACCGTTTCCGTATCACAGACTAAAAAATTAAAAATTTTATTGGATTTCCATTTCGGGCATAACAATTGTTTCTATTTCTTATTATTTAGCCAATCATAGGATTTTTAACCATGCTCATTATGATGGGTAGTTTAAATTTTCAATATAATCAAATCTTTTTTCACATATTAGAAATTAAAATACGAGTTTCTTCTATACTGTAAGGTTTCTATAGGTTAGGGTCAGGTTGGGGATATGGGCATGCCTTTTGGCCATAAGGCATGCCCATGCCCACTGTGCTCCGAACTCTGGAACAGCAACGAAAAGATGAGGTTAGAGCAGGCTGTCATCAATTTATGAACGATCCGAAATCTGTGAGTTAAGAACTGATTACTGTTTTATGGTTCTTGGAAGTTAATAAATTTCTTTTGTACCTGTAGCACAAAGAAAAATTAGCCCGTGAACATCGAATTAGCGATTTTCTTGATAGGATCAGTTCAAATTTTTATATAAATTTTATATTAATTCAAACGGGAGCCAGAAAACAATATATTAATTCAGACGGGGACCAGAAACCAAATATTTCTTAATCGTCTCCAACATTTCAAATATAAATGTTCGATTAGGGCTCGTAAAGTGCCTTGTTTGGAATTTTAGAATTTAGCGAATTCTATGGTCGTCTAAAAGCATAAAAGAATACCATCGTCGTAATGAAACAGTTGAACCTTTAGAGCTAGAATTTATCAATCAACAAAATCAAATGGAGAAAAAGATGGTAAATTTCGTTATATGTGTTATATTTGAAATCTTTCGATTCTACGACTATTTACGGAGAAATATTAATTTCGTTTTTTTATAATCTTGCACAAAATTTACAACTTAAATGTAATAAATTGATCAAAAATTTTTCATGCTACATATTTAGAGGACTTATTTAGAGAGCTTTTTCAAAAAGGTGAAGCAGCTTTCTAACTTAGATGATATTAAAGAAAACAACCAAAGAAATTTTCTTCGACAAATGTGAAAATTAAAAATTCCCAGGCAGTGAGAAGCAAATCGGTTCAGACGAAGACAATGGCTTGTTTTGTACAGGTTGTATATTACTAATTTCATAGACTTTGAACTTTACAAATTCGAATTTCTAATTTATTAAACCGTCTTTAACCGTATTATATAGGTCATAAAGACTATCAGAAGAAACCGTATTTGATGCACATTTAAAAAGTAAAATACGCATAAAAGCCGCTAACGCAATGGTAGAACAAGGAATCACTTCCATAGACTGCGAAACACAAAAGAAATTATTTAGAGGCAGCAAAAGAAAGAGATAACCTGGAAAAGAAATTACTTCTATAGACCGTAAAACTTAAGAGAAATTACTTAAAGAGGCGGCAAAAAAAAAAATAACCGGGAAAAAGAAATCACTTCTATAGACTGAGAAACACAAGAGAAATTACTTAATGAGACGGCAAAAAAAAAGACAACCGGGAAAAGAAATTGCATTTACATAAGCGTTGATATGCGAATATGCGGAAATATTGAATATGCAGCGGGAAGATACTAAAGCAAATGTGTAAAGGTAACGAGCCTTGACTGACAGAGAACGTAGTGTAAGCTATTATCATTTTAACTAAATTATTATTTTTTTTCCTAAATGTCTCATTATTGTTATTTTTTATAATCACTTTTAGATGGAATAGAAGCGGAAGAAGTAAATGATATAGAATCTGAGTCAGAAGATGAGAACAAAATTTATAATCCTCTGAAATTGTTCTTGGATGGGATGGACCAATTCCATACTGGCTCTATAAACTACACGGCTATCTACGCGAAATATGTTTACGGGGGCAGAAAAGCTTTTGATAGCATTTTCAGGTAATTAAAAATTGCATTGAAGCCTAATTATCACATATCTAAAATACTTTAAATTTTTTCAGGAATGTAGTATGGGATGTTTGGGTATACAAAATACGCTGAAATCACATTGATAAAAGACGCATATGCCTGTAAGTATTAAA